GGGGGGGGAGGGGATAAAACTTCCACCTATTCAATGAAATCGCTTTTACAAGCCCTCAAAACCCTGGGATTACCATATTGTTTTACTTTGTGATTATAAATTCAAGTAATTAGTTGAGGACAGTTCCTGTTTTGAAAGGTAAAGTTTCCCTGAAGCTTTGTTGTTGTTTCCAACCATTTCACCCCTTGGATTGGAAATAAAGAGTATATTAGGCAATTAGGTCTCCTAACTTCATTTTCTCCATCAATCCTATGATTCAAATGTAGGTGTAAAATGCTACGTTTGCTCCAGTGATGTGTCTTGGTCGGACTGTGAATCCCATCAGCAAGCCCACAACTGTCCGTATACGTACGATCAGTGTCTGACACTCAGCAAGGAGGCAGGAGTCAGTAACACAAGCCTGCTCTTCCAAAAGAGATGCACATCTAACACTCTATGTACTGCATATAATCCAACTTGCGACCGTCCCGATGTTCTCAAGTGTGACTTCAGCTGCTGCATGGGTGATTTTTGTAATACTGCCTCACTATTTTATTCGACGCTTTGGAGTTTTGTTCCTTTAGTTGCGATGACTTGTTACATGTATGCCTGATTGCGTTCGGATGAGTGACGTCAAACCGATTACTGTTAGAAGCGAAAATGAGTTGCACTGGTCCCGTCTTATCGTAGCTACGTTTCAAAATCTAGAATCACATTTGGCGTTGGGAAAAAACTACCTCCAGTTTGATGGAGACTGTCAGCTGTTGGTTTAGTATGATAGAGAAAGTAGCAGGAATGCCTAAAATGGAGAAAATTTAACTGGACTGAAAATGATGAAATTGGAAAATTGAGGCTGGCTTCTTCAAGTTACATTAGTCGTGACGTAAATGTATCATGGTTGCCACAGTCAAACATAGAGTTTCCCAGACTGATTGAATTAACAATTACGTACACGAGTCCTGATTTACGCCTCCAACCTTCCCTCCTAATTAAAATAGAAGAAAACGATCAGTGATTTCACTCATTTCACCAAATTGAACGAAGAAGGGAAAGGATATGTTGGTCAGGAATCCGTCAACAGTACAACAGAATGTAGACGAGAGGGCCGAATATGTATTTGAAAATTCACTTTTCCCTAATTTAAAGTGAAATTCCCTCACTTTTCCCCGACTTTAAGGAAATTCATTTCTGACCTGTGGCGTTACTGTGGAAACCATAATTATGTCTCCTTAGATTCTTCACATTGCCAAATAACATTGAGTATTTGGCAGAATCACGGACAATAAAATTCAATGATTCAATCAGACCTGCTGTTACGTTGTAGGTTGAAAGCAAGAAAACAATCCGGTTCAAATCAATGAGCAACGAAGTAAGTGGATCTTCTTGGCCACTTATAGCCATACAAGGAAATTTAGCATGTTGGAAGTTGTAAAAAGCAAACCTTAAGCCACATCAAAAAACAAACAAACCAGCTAGATTTCAACGATATTAAATACGTTCATGCATTAGTCATTTCAAAATCTCCTTCATGAAACAAGCTGTTTTCTCACTAACAGGGAGACTAAAACTGAGTTAAACGTTATGCTACTAATATACAGTATACCCTTTAAAGGGAAAAGAACTGACTACTCAATCTGGATGATTTCATTTTCTTTTCAATCAAATATAGTTTTGCTAAAGGAGAATTATTGATAATTTTTGAACTGATCAAGAACTTGGCATATTTAAATGTCTAAATAAATGTGTAATGGAAATATATGCAAAAAATCTTAATATTCTATCACAAGACTGCAGTTGTAAATGAAAGGTGTCATCTCCCTCCTCTAACGACAAAAGGCTCAGGATCATGAGCTAGGCTTGAGTCCATTCTACTTCCATCATCTGTCATACAAAAAAATAACAACAGAAATTTATTCCTGTCATCATCTAAATCTGAGCAATCAGACCTTTTTTTGAATGAATCTATTAGAGAATACCACTATACATTGTAAGCAGACCAAAGCAAATGAGTGGCAAAATATATTTCTAACTCAATGAATAACATCCTCACTCATTTTGTTAATGACGTCTTCGACCAGGAGGTCTGGTAGCATGTTAAACTTAGGGTAAGCCTTTGAGCAAGTCATCATAACGAGCCCTGCAAGACACACGTTCCTCTGCAGACAGGACAATCTGAAACGACTTGGGGAGAGATTTGCTGGAGAGCTGGCACTACTACTAATAAAATAATCAGTGCTAGTTTCCTTTGCAGACCTCTCACGGGTTCACGTTGTTCAAGGCCTCATACTTTCCCATGGGCAAAGAGGCCCTCGTGCTGAAGCCCTAATAAGAGGCTATTACAACATAAATCACGTAAAGTGTGCACTCCAATTGATCAATTCAGTGTCTCCTCTTTGCCCATGGGCGTCTACTGCTGACGAGACAAAATGTCTCCAAGTAAGCAAATGTTTTGCAAGAAATCGTTTTTATACACTGAATGCAAATATGGCGTCCAATTTGAAGCCTCGTCTTCATGTGGAAATACAAAAGGATTATTACATGTGTGAGAGGCTAGTTAGTCCAGAACAATGGCAACTCAAACTGGATGCCTTATTTGCATTCGGTGTATATTATATAACAAATGGTAAACAAAACAGCATATGCTAAGAGTTATGGATGCACTTGGGAGGTTTGCTAAGTACTCAAGGAGCTAGAGTTGCTTAAGGCAATTCGTGCTTAGAAACCTCCTACATGAATCCATTACTCAATAGTGTATGCTGTGGTGTTTACCATTAATAGTTTGTTACAGACTACAACTCCTGAAATGAGGGAATGACCAAATCACAATGGCTTGACTTCACAAGACATGAAGTTTGCTGTATTTCATAAAATCAAATGTCATTTTTAAAAAATATTATTTACCTCTGCCACCCAAAAGACCTGAACCTTCTGGATTTCTTCTTGATTGCTTATCTAACCAAAATAGGGAAATCATAAGAAAAACAAAGACATAAGCAAACAAAATGGCAAGACAAGAGGCATGTTTAAAAATTTCATTTAATTCAATGCCTTTAAAGTAAACAAGCTCAAGCTGATGTTTTGAGAATATTCAGTGAAACTATTGTTTGTTTTAGCTTTTGCAAAACTGTGGCATTCCCCTTCATCAGGTTCTCATCTTAACACAGCTAAAAGTTTCCTTCTTGGTCACATTAAATCTATTCCAAGCTCAGCTATTTTCTTCCTAGCTTCTTTTCTATAGTTTTTAATTAAACCCTGTAAATTTCTTTGTGGTTGTCAGTCATGTAAAAAGGCAAGCATCACTGATCAAAATCTCTCCATATCAAGACCTGCTAAAGAAAGGTTGTTTTACAATTCTCTTTCTTTTTCCATGTATTAAAGACACAGTTTTTCAAAAACCGTCAGCCGCCAGGATGTTTTCCCCTTCAAAATTGGAAAATTTGGAAATAGCAGAGAGAGCAACCTTGGAGACACTGGTTTATCCTGCAAAGAGCCTTTAAAATTTCCACAGTGTATGAAGAGACTAATATTGGTTTTTTTTTTAAGTGAAAAAAAAAAATTGCTAAAAATTTGTTTGTAATTACAAACCACTTGTATGAGGTCTCAACATGGCTTCATGTCTTGCACCTCTAAACTGCCTCCCCTCATTATGGCCTCCTTGAAGAAAATGAGCGAGGATTCCATACAAGAGTGGCCTAAAGGTAAACAACTATCAGCTATGCATCTTTGTGATAGTCACTTAATCTCATTGGGACCATCAAAGGATGGTTAACCGTATAAGAGTCCCCAATCAAAATAATCCTTGTATAGTATAACTGCTTGCTGTAATAATATACAAATGAATAAAGGCTGATAGATTATAAAGAAACTATTTGGGGCTGCGTCGGTGGGGGTAACAAAATAATTTGAATATATCAACAAAGTTGATATATTCAAATTTTCGATATAGATTCGAGTTTTTTAATATATATATTCGATATATATCGATATATATTGAATAGGGGAATTGTGGGTATATATCGAATATTTATGTTTGATATATATTCCAGTTTTTTTTGATATAATTATTTGAGTTTTCTCGTTACCATGTTCCCACCAGTCACGTTACTAGCTCCTTTTTCTGCCTTTAAAAGCACACACAACCCACAGTTCCCCTATTCGCTCCAACGAAGGGCTAACACTCGAAACGTCAGCTTGTATAATCATAACGGTGGCCAATTTACCATTTCAACTTTGTTGATACATTCAAATTATTTTGTAATAATATACGGTTTTGGACAATCCTTGAAACTGCATAACATGGATGTATTACTTGCTTATTAGGAGTAATAAACATATTCTTTTTTGTATAAATTATATCATTTGGAAATAATCATAAGTCAAATTCTGCAATTTCTTTTTTGATTGAAGCTCACCTACAAAGATCCTTTCATAACATGAATTTGATCTCCAGGTCAAAATGAAATTTCACTCTTTAAAATTTTGAAATGTTTTTAAATTACATGGTTGGTGACTCCTCTTCTGTGATGTTAAGTTCCTGCACCAGAAATCTTCTGTCCATGGGTTCCTTAGGTTGACCTGATTCTGGTATTGATCAAGAAAGCATTATATTAGAAAACTATAATGGCTTGTTAGGAACACAGCTCAGGGTGAAACATGAAACTAATATATTAGTCTCAAATGGGAGATGTGGTGGCCTTACAGTTAGTACTCTCGGGTCTCCAGTTGAGAAGTTTAGGTTTGAGACCTGTCCAAGACATTATCTTGTTTTCTTTGGCTAAACCAGAAAGCCTGATGAAACGATGCAGCGGAGAGGGGGGCAACCTAGATATGAATAAAGGGGGCAAATTTTCAAAGAAACTGTAGTGCTGTGTTGGGAGGGGGGGTAACAAGGTAATTTTGGTCTTATCTACTGAGTTGATAATGTTCATTGGTCACCATAAAGAGTTTCAAAGCTGACATTTTGAGCATTAGCCCTTCGTCAGAGCAAAAGACAAAAGGCTAACGCTCAAAACATCAGCTTTGAAACTCTTTATGGTGGCCAACCTAGTGATGGACTAGTATCTCATCCAGCTCGAGTAACAATTCTCCAAGTCCTTCATGCTATATTAAGCAGGCCAATGTACACTACCTGCTAAGAGCACTGACTCTGTGTATTTGTATTTGTTGAAAGTTAAGTATTCCCTGATAAGTTCATTGATCAGCAAGTTCTCATTCGATAGAGCAGGTCTCGGTTCTGTCTGTAATCAACAATTGAAAATTCAAAGTATTTTTACTTATTTATCCTTATTTGAGCTTTGCTCTGTTTCGTTTTGTTAAGAACAATCAATCAATAAAAGTTGATGATCTGGAATCAATCGATAAATCGATGGCAAACGAATAAAGTTATTTAACTGGTGTCGATTGGCATCGGTCATTGACCAATCGATAATCATACAAGAGTAGTCGCAATTAAACTGGTCACCGACGGGCGTTGAAGATAAATCCGATTCCTTTATCTTGAGTGTTCGCAGAGTGAATATTATTTTGAATGCTCATCGTTAATGTTTGAGAAAGGGTAAGTTTGTCCATCGTTATGATTCCGTGACAAAACTAGCTTGTAAGACAGGCACAGGTAAACACAGCATTTGCATCATACACAGTGACGCAATTGTATAAACGTTAATTATAACTCCCACACAAGCAGTTATTTTTACATGGATTACAAACATGAGCACAAGAAAAGTTACAAGTTTTCATCCATGAATCTCTCAATTTTAAGAATAACCAAAGATAACAGCGAAAATGATCACGGCAGTAAGCTTCTAGATTAATATAACTTACTTGATCGTCAAGGGCACTAAAAACTTCAGCACGAACTCGAGCTCGAATTTGACCCAGTACACCTCTATTTTCCAAAGTTTCTTTTAACACTGTCGAAATAAAAAAATTACGACATGGGCCATCTTCTGATCACTAAGTAAGTTACACTGAATAAGACACTGACTAAAGACTAAAACGTACCACTCTTGAGCTCGTCTACTGTCGCCATCTTGAAAATGGCGGTTATCTGTATTTCAGCTGAATAACTGCGGGCTCAAAATTGGCAGTCTGTCTAGGAGCTTCAGACGTGGCGGGGGTAGGAGAGTTCCAAATTCCTTTGCGTAGCACTCAGTATTTTGATCTGCTGCAATACTTTTATCTAATATTTTTAGCTCCAACGTACGCAATAGAAGTAATAAACAACTGTTATATTCCGCTTTTGTTCTATGATTTACCCAAAAATAAACGAGTCTATTCTTAATACTTATCCTACCCTGGTGCTCAAATAGATTGGTCACATGAACATGTCTTTTACAAATGCTCAACCATGTTCGGGTATTCATAGTGTACAGATTATTCTGCGCCATGAACCCTGTGGCGGTGGATCCGAACAATCCAGGTAGGATCTCTCTGGCTTATCGAGACCTCACTGAAGTGCCCACAGACTGGGATAGCAAATGTGACGACATTCATGTACTGGATTTAAGTCACAATAATTTGAAGTATCCTTTCCAATTATTTTTGCTTTTTGATGTTTAAATAGAGTAGATAGATATCGGGGGTTGTTTACTTTAGTGAAAGCTCCGAAACACAGATATTTTTATTTTATGCAGATCAATACTCGTTCTAAGATAGAACATAGTGTGCAAGGTTACTGTATTCGATATAAATACAATGGAGATTTGCCATTTCATTTCAAAGATCATTGGAATGAAATTGAAATATTACACGCAACACCAACCGAGTTAAGTGACCAGTAACAACTTCGTCAGACTCTGCCAGTTTAGGCCGATAGCACATTGCGATGTACATGTCAAGTGCGATTAAAGAGAATCGCTGGTCACCCTCTCCCAGAAATTACATAATTAACAATTATTCCACTCGCGCTTGTTGGATATGAGATGATAGATAGCCAACGAGGCGCGTAGCGCCTCGTTGGCT